GTCGGACCCCCGCCGACAACGACGAATGACAAGAGCCGAGACCTCTCCTCCTCGGAGATGAAGGGGCTCGCGGCCCGCTCGAAGCATTCTAGCAAGCGGTTGCGGATGTTGCGGGCGTCGCCGAGTTTTTTCAAGAAGAACACGTGTTTTTCTGGAGTGGGAACATACAAAGGAAAAGGGGGGGGGGGGGGGGGGGGGGCGAGAAAGAGAGGGAGTGAGAATGAGACAACACCAACAGAGACAGAGACAGAGGGAGACGGAGAGAGAGAGAGAGAGAGAGAGACCATGCCAATGATACAGCAAATTGTATTAAAACATACGGCACGTCAGGCAAAGACAACACGAACAGCCGGAATCCCCGGGCTTGTTTTTCGCATGGATCAATTTGTCCACATTGCTCAACATGGATCCATATTCGATATTCATTCTTCAGACGCAACGTTGTCACGTCCAACTTGTCTCACTCCCATAGAAAATACTCCCGGAACAAACTTCCCAATCATGGTGTCGTATTATTCTCAAGAACGACGTGTGAGCGTGTGCTTGGCATGAACGTATACCGTACAAAGACATGACGACGACATCAAGCACGGCTACCGAAAATGTGATGATCAAAGAACCTGTTCTCGAAGAGCATATCGAAGGTATTTCGCACACAGTACGCGTGAAAAACCGTCTGCTCACACGACGCAAACTTGTATAACGGCGACACCTCTCCTCGAACGCACGCCTTTCTCTTGCCCCTGCTGTTATGGGATAGTGCCCTAACACGGACAACTCCTCCACCGAGACCCCCAGTCAGGGCAAGTAGAATAGCCCCTACCGTAAGCGTTAGGTTGGTCAATGGATACACGTACGCTACAAGGCCTGCCTCCAGAGTGGACTGGCTCAGCAGAGCATAGTAGCAGTAGTGTCATCAAGGCGTGATGAAAGGTTGTTGTTGGTGTGAGTCAACTTCCAACTGTCAGCACTGACGTTTCTCAAGCTCGAACAGCTCACAATAAGCTGACGTGATTTTGACTCGAAAAGCACAACGAACACCAACGCACCAAAAAGAACAAATTAAAAATCTGTATACAATCGTACATCCAATCTGACAACAGAAAGCCATGTACCTCGCTGACGCCAGGCACGCCGAAGGTATTGTTCTGAGCACCGGTAGCGATAACGAGAGAGTCGTAGTCGACTTCGTGCTCCGTGCCCTTGAACACTTCCTGACACCGCAGGGTTTTCGACTTGAAATCTACACCTATCGATGACAAGTGAAGAAACGGGGGGAAAGGGTACTCGGCAACCAGATCGTTGACAGTCCAGAGCAACAATGAAAAGGCGTGAGTTCAAAAACCGTACAGAGTAGAGTAGAGCAGTGTTGTTGTTGTTGTTGTTGTTGTTGTTGTTGTTGTTGTTGTTGTTGTTGTTGTTGTTGTTGTCTTCACATTAAAAACCGTTCCGGTCTCCGCTCAGTACGTTCTGATGTCCGTACTGGTCCAACTGTGTGCGAAGGAATATTCCAAGGAGAGCTGAGAGAGGAGAAGGGATTCGAGAAGAGCCCTTCTCGCGGGAGAAACAACCCGGAGGGTAGGATGCCGCACTAATAGCAAAGACGAGGAGGGCACGGACCGATCGCGATAGTACTAGGTAAATCGGCTGCGCGAAAAACAAAGACGAACATGGCATGTAGTATTGCAGTCAACGAGGTTAATGTTTGAGACTGCCGCATGCCATACCCTGTTGCAAAGTCCCCGGCTCCAAACACCAATCTTACGCCTATCACTTGCAAATGTCGGTATGCAAAATCGTGTGGTTCAATTGTTGCCCAAGCTCTCCGCCCGCATCCCTTTTGCTACGTTTCGGGCTTTAGATGGACAAAAGAAGGCAACCGTACTCACTCAGGACCGATGCCTGGAGGTATTGGAGCCCTTTGATTGTGCGAACGGGCTCTTGAATACACCTGCAAAAAAGACATTCCCGGAACGTATGTCAGGTGAAGTGTCAGCAGATAATAGGCGTGTATCTCTCTGTTGAGGAGTGCACGAGGGAAATGCGCAATGAAGAGAAAAAAAATGCCAAAAAACAAATGGAAAGTGTCGGGAGGTGTTCGTGCCCTAAGGTCGCACAAGATCATCGTGCCTCTGTGAATAGGGATCGTATATATGTAAGCACGCGCGTCAGAAGTCGACAACACGTTCCGTGTCCGACGCGGAAATGATAAACATGTCCTTGCACCCCACACCTGGCCGGCGCCACACGCCAACGTTTTCCAGATAGCCCAAACGAGCGGGCGTTACCGCCGAATCTTTATCGCAACGGTTCAGAGGTAAGGTATTGGTTCACACGTTCGCACCTGAACTCGAGAGTCCCGACGGTGGTGGAGGGAAGCAGTGGCGTGAACAGGAAGTGGTTGCGAGGGCTGATGACGGTCACGTCGTACTTCTTCTTGTCCACCTCGCGGGCTACAAACCGGCCATTGCGGCAACACCAGACGACATCATGCATGTCATTTGGTTTGGACTAGCGTAAACCAGGCGTTTAGACAACACCATGTGCTCTGTAGCTCGGCGACATCACGCTATGCGCTCCTCTGCCTTTGAACACGCTGTTGCAATAAATAGTCGAGTGTCGATGTCTCGCCAGTCAAACGTGTGAAGCAACACGAATCTCGTGTGTACCTACATACAGTACAGCAGTTTCACTCCCGGGATTACTGTACGGCTACTCATCACATACACGCCGCTATTCCATTGAAACAGCAGAAGTCTCCATGCGTGTGAGTCAAACGCCCAACGCCGCTACGTCTGTAGCCAAGCGAGGAGCACGCAGTACATGCACGCTGGCTCCGCTGAACCTAAAGCCAGTTTACAAACAAGAGGACAGCAGCAATTATGAAATTCACCGAGTGAAAACGAGAGACAGAGAGAACCCCATGCAAACTCATAACAAACCAGCAGTGACCCAATGACTTACCAACGCGAAACCCGCCCCATCCCGTCCCCAGGATGACGAGCTTGGTTTTGCCGCCGCCAGCCGCGGAAGAAGAGCTTGGTCTTGTCCCCAGCCGCATCGCTACTACGCTGCCACTCCCCAGCGGGCACAACCGGCGTGTGGAAGTCAACAACAACATCAGAGCCTACGGATACAGAGCATGCACTGAGAAAGGGCAACAGGACAGAGATCACAGCGTGTTTGGTGCCTCTGGCTGCCCGTGAGTTGGAGCTCCGCGTTCGGTGGGGAAACGGGAAAAGCGATCATTGTACCGCCGCTTTCGCCGCCGTGCTGAGCGCTGATTGGTGCGGTCCAGTTCTCGAACCTGTTCAGGTTCCCCATCGGCGGCCGTTCGGCCGTTGGTTTGCGGTTTTTGAGGGTCAAGATCATGAGCAACATCCTGTCTTTCAAGTCACGTGTCCTTGCTGGCAAGCCAGCCTCCTCTTTTTGGATACGCGATAACGTATCATCCATGACCTGGAGAGCTCAGCCGCTGATATACAGAACACACCGACGGTCCTGTGGTTCCGCCGCCCATCAACAAAATTACGTATGTATGTACTGCTGTATGTACTACACATCATCGAGTGTAGTCTACATATCCTATTTTTTTGGAAACGAGTTACGCCGCATTTTTTTTTGTTTCTCGAGGATCGTGTGTTCGTCACACACCTCTTTCTCGACGTGGTCACATAATCTCCCGGCCTCTCACCTTTCGGGCTGCATGAGCCGCAGCGTTCGTGGTGAGGGCTGGAGGTGTCGACGGGCATGGTTAAAGTAGTGCCAACGGAGGGAAGCCCTGTGGATGGAGAAAATGCCGGCAAGGATCATGCTTCCCCCAACCACAAGAATGGCAGCAAAGATTTAGACACTGCCAACAATGACAACAACCAAGGGCATGTGCAAACGGGCGACGACGCTAAAAAAGCGCCATCAGCAAGTCCGCCCGCAGGACACACTGCCGGTGGAGCATCTGCGAGGGAGGACGGGAAGCTGCACATCGGCAGTGAGGCCGCGACCGACGCCGACGTATCTGCCGCTGCCGTTGATGGTGACAACAAGCCGCAACAGCAGGCACTGCCAGCGGCCACTAAGGACCCATCCAACCCCGCTCATGCTGACGAGTCACAACAACAGGCATTGCCAGCGGTCATCGCAGACCCTTCCAAACCCCCAGATGACAGTGTCAAGCCTGATTCCCCCGTAGACCCTACGGCCAGTACTGGCGATCCTTCCAAACCCCCTGATGGTGACGAGTCCCAGCAGCAGGGAACACCGGCGGTGCATATGGCGGAAGACGGCGGGGGGCCGGAAGCAGTACCCGCGAAGTCCCAACTTCCACCGCCCACCTTGGACATGGACAAGCACAGCGGGATGACCACCTTTTCACTCATGCGCCAGGACGAGGAGGGGTCGAGCCTGGACACGTCTGACCCGGGCGCAGCCGCCGCACGCGGTGAACAAGAAGATGGTCAGTACAACAAGGGAGATGGAGCCGTGGAAAATCTAGAAGAAGAACAGGAGGGGTTTGACGGCGAAGAGGAGTCAGAGGAACCGGTGGGTACCACCTTTGCCAGGCGAGGAACGCGCAGGTTCGTTCGTCAAGGCACGGGCATCAGCATGGCTGACGGCGTGTCGCCGGAAGACAAAAAGAAAAAGAAAGCGCCATTTCACGTTCCCCAAACCATGTACATGGGACACCCCGTCGGAAGCATGGCAGCGGAGTTCTTGGAGAGGCAGAAGCACAGGTTGGTGGACGTGAAGAATCGGCGGGAGGAAGTGGCCGGGCTGTTGGAGTTGGTTGTGGATCATAACCCTCGGAACACCGGTTCAGACGTTCCCGACATCGACAAGGTGTTTCCGGACAAGCGTGGGAGAGACAATAGCCAGGGGGGTTGGTGCATCTGAAAGGAATTAATAGTCAAATTGTCTGCGTGTTGTTACTTGTTGCTACTGCCCATCGTATCTCTGTGCGTGTTCTTGTTCTGGATGCTGTGGCGAGATTGCTAGAGTGAGAGGGACTAACGGTTCTTGTCGAAAACGGATAGACCGCACTCTTTCCGCCACCACCACCCGTGATAGAGGGAGGCCCGAGTTGGATGTGACGTCGCAATATTCAACCGCTGATAGCAATAACTTTACGCGTGCCTTTATGATACAGCTTTCCTATATTTGACTAACTGACTACTAGGTTGGACGTTTTATCTATCGGCGCATGATGCTTGATTGTGGCTCTATGTTTTTTTAGGTGCAGGAAGCAGGGAGGGGGGGGGGCGTGTTGTGGGAGTTGCGAAAGCTGGTTCACTCCAACCGCGCCACACTAACGCTACGGACATATTTTGGGCCTCTATAGTCGGTACGCCGTTCGACCTTGGGCTCTTCTTCATCGAACGGAAGGCTGTGTCCTATGCCCCGAGGGGGGGGGGAGTGGCGGGGGGTCCATGTGCTATTTGTGTAGACTGTTGCAAGACGAGTGGAGCGGAACTGAACGACAAGGAACTTGCAAACAATGGGCCTGAAGTTTAACATTTTCTTCGTCACAAGCTTGTCAAGTGTGAAGACGGCGTTCGTCCATCGAGGACACACCAAAATGGCCCGCGCTCGGCTGTACATCAGCGGCGAAATTATACTGCCAACACGTTCCGAGGCTCTTGCAGTCGCCGGTGGAGTGCTACAATGTTGCATCTCGCCGAAACCTCGCGTGAACCCAGCTTCCAACACGGCACATAAAAGGCCCTTGGCTCACCCAAAAAATTGCACTTCTGCCCTCCGAGCACTGGGCGTGTGGGAACGATTGAACACCCTGGGAGAGAGTCGCCAAAGGAAAGGAGTTCAAACAGAACTATGCGTGTGGATTAGGTAAATAGTTCTTTGTTGGGTAGAAGATAGAAGCAATCACACAGACAGCAGTTGCGCACCTACGGCCACATCACGACCAGTTATCTCCCGCCGAGACCTACGAGCACAACTACACGCCACGTGCAACCGTTCCTGCAGGCGTTTCTCTATATCTATCTCGTGGTCATGACAAGCAGAGACCGTTTTCTCGAGTACAATAGTATCACGAAGACGGTGAATCAAATTCCTCGAAAAAGTGTCGCGTGCGCCAGTGTTACGGATAAGGACATCCACCCCATCTGCAAAATGAGACCACGAGCAAAGCCTCAGATAGTGGCCAAAGCTACCAGCGAATTGGCTTACTCTAATTCCTTCACCTATTAATAGTTCAACGCCACGCGATATGAAGTTAACCCGTTCCTTCGTCCCGCCTAACCCGTTTGCCTTATGTACGCCCTTGCCAACTCCACTCTGACGACAATGCACAATGGTAAACACCAAGCTGGCACAGCCAATGCCAGCGAGAACTGTGTTGGAGACTCAACATCAAACTACCCAGGCTCGCAGTCAATGTCGAAAAAAAAAACGAGTGTTGACTTTAGGCACGAGCTAGGTCGGCCTCTAGCGACCTCAAAACGTTTCCCCAATCTATCCACTACTCTCATGACATTTTGTAGCTTACAATGTCTTGCTTGTCAGTCGTAGCGCGATGGGTCAGGACACGCGAGTCCCTTATCCCTTCCCATGTGAGAGAGACCCACCAAGCACGAAACCGCGATGGACAACGCCCCACGATTTTGTCGTAAAACGCAGTGCTAATGCTACTGCCTAGGGGGGGCTCTTTCTTCAACCTCAAGCATGCACGAAAGACTACAATACACAACACACCTGTCGATCAGCTTCGACATCGTTTTAAGAGTTTTATCAATATAAGAGACGAAACTGGGGGAGGAGGCACGCACATACAAGACTAAAACGCGTCCCGCGTGTATCGTCAGTCAGCTACTGGAAGTACGTGTCGTAGTCCAAAGGCAACAGTCCCAAGAGCTGCGCGAACGTCTCTATCTGCTGGGGGATGCTTTGCCCTGTCCAGTACTCCGTGAGCATGCCCACCGTGATCCCAAACATCGCGGACCTACAGCGATAGGGACGGACGGAGCACACGACGGCAAACAACGAGACACGGTCGTAGGGTTGAACAGAGCACATGCATCAGACAAGCCCTATCAGAATTTATACGTAGAGTATCCAAAAAACGGCGAGAGCTCAAGCAGTCCCCGAGCTCAAAGGCCGAGAGCCGCCAGCTGGTGGCACCGGGGTGCGATCGTTTCTTTCTTCTTTCAGTCACTTCCCTGCTAGCAATCTTATCGCAATCTCTGGTGGGTTAGTTCAGTCTGAGAGGGTATGTCACTCCAAGGCCGGTGCGTAAATCGAGCTGAACAGGGTCGTTCTTCTTCCTTTTGGATGGCACGCCCCCGGTGCGATACTGTATTGTACCATGACTCCGACGGGGGTAGTAATGAACAATATCCCACCGGCTTTACTGGTACAATAGCTCACAAGACTTGCGCTGTAATATACTGGTAGGCACCTCGGTGCGAAATCAGAAAATTCTATTGTGGTGTTCTGGGTGTGGCCCAAAATTGAATGCTGATCTCTACCTGGTGGCCATGAACTTTTCTCATTGGTCGCTCAATTAGAGCGGAAGACACTATATTCATCTCGTACCCATTTTCAGAACTTATTTTACAAGAATTTTCCGGTGATCCGACCTTGAAGTTTTTGCAACTCCGGACCCGCCTTTCTTTATCCTCAACTAAATTTATACCCAAAACACACGCACACGCACTTCTTAGGCCCCTGTGCTGGGATGTAACTTGTAGTTGCCTTGGTCAGCCAGTAGCACGGTCGGTGTATTTTTTCTAAATCAAAGCTACACGTGCAGAAAGAAACAAATCCTGTGTGCCTCCGGCTGATCCGTCAAACATGTACACCGCGAGGTGCGTAGACTAACTGGCGCTAGAGTAGATGAGAAGCACACACACAAACACCCAACACACAAACCACCTCCCCCGTGACGCCCCCTCACGGGGTCCCATATCATGGTAGCCTCTAGAAGCATTTTGTGTTGTCAACCGCACTGAGAGTCACGTCTTTTCATTGGTCAGCCGGTTAGTGCCGTCGATGCTAATAACAAAAACACACCCACAAAAATCCCGTGTGACTTTCCTCCTGTGACTCCGGCTGATACTTCAAACATATACACCGAAAGGTCGTGGACTGGCGCCAGCGTAGATGAGAAGAGCACACACATATGCACACACACACACACCTCCCGTTCCACAGCTCTGCCCTGGGGCAGAAGCCGAAGGTGATTGCGTCCTCCGCCTCCTTGTCAAGCCGCTCCCTCCTCAGCTGCTGTGCGATCTTCTCGAGCCCCTTCTGTTGCTCCGCGAGCACCTCCGGCGGCAGCACGATCTTGCCAGGGATGTCGTCGTCTGCAAGCGGTAATTTTGTTCATTGTCAAAACGCACAACATTGATAGTTTTGGTGAGAAAACATGGTCAGTCCTGAACAATAATCCCTATATAAATGAGCACGAATCGCATGGGAGGAAAAATAAGGTTCTCAGACATTGCGGCAATCGCCTGTTTCGTATTTTACCATGGCATGGGTATACAACGTGTCGATGCTTCGACGGGAATTTGGTCATTTCTGCTCGCGTGCAATGTGCATAAGAGCATCGTGTAGGACCTCCCGTGATCAATACACTAAAAGAAACGGTTTCGCGGTCATACAGGCAGGTATCTACGTCTTGAATCCGATCGCGTGTGCTTTCAATTTCGTGAGATAGCGCATCCCCTGGACCCATTTTTAAAGCCCCAATACCCCACGATCAAGAGGATGCAACAATCAAACCATACATGTTCGGAAGCTCTCGACGAGATGGTTCCAACGCCGCCGTCTCTTTTGTCCCTTTTCTTGCTGCAGAGCTACTCGAGCTTTGAAAGTCGATCCAAGGCGTGCAGAATCTTTCGTAGCCAACGGCATGAACAAGCGCGGTGCGCTCGACACTCTCTCTTTCCAGACCAAACACGCGGCACATGGTCATGACCAGACCGACCCGGCCCTACTGCCCGTCGTATTGGACACCCCACCTCCACCCAGCCTGCGGGTTGTGCAACTCCCCCCCTTTCACATCAAGAGTACAACACCCGGCAGGTAATGATGGTGTTGGATTGGGTCCGCTTGGGTCGTATCTAGCGAAGAAATCAAATCCTGATGAGGCCCATTCAGATTTGAGCTTGATGATACAACGCGTCCAGGAACATTTTACTCTTTTACCAGAGCTTTGGCGGCCTCCGAAAGCAGTTGAGTACAACGCGTGGCTCACCGTCCATTCCGGGGATGGGATCAGGCTTGATCGGCCCCGGCGCCATGGGCGCAATCCCGGCCCCACGCGGAATGACGATGGGCTCGTCGTCGCTCCTTCCCGCCATCTCGCTCACGAGGTCGTCCAACTCCGGGTTCACCTTCCGCTTCGGCTTCGTCGCCACCGCGCTAGAGGTATCATCGTCGGCCGTTTCCTCCCCCGAGTCGCTGCCCCCCTCGCCGTCCGCGGCGGACAAGGCCACCAACAGTCTGCCCGGCCGTACGCGCGAGCTGCTGCCACTCCCGCTGGTTGCCTGCGGTGTCGAGAGGGGAAGGCCGCCGGAAAAGAAAACGGCAGGGGTGTCCATAACCCGGAACCCACCACGGCATCTACCGGTTATATCAACTTTTGGCGGATCCTACCGCGGTTGTACAACCTCACACATGCGGGGATGAAATTCTTCCATCCCCTGCTGGGTTTCCAATGTATTTTGTTCGTTTTCCCGGCGGCCGCCTCTCTAGCTTGTACACTACCAACCCCACCCGAACGATTTTACCGTTTCGACGTTGTGGTTGCCGTTCGTTTGCAATGTGATGATTCATTTTACTTTCTGTCAAAACATGTCGTTATTTTGTGGTTCTCAAAAGTTGACATATCATCAACTGTGTGATGATCGGCCCCCCAGCAGCACAACATGCTTGCTAATACTTGAGGTACGATAACTCATACCGAGGTCAAACTTGTGCTTTGTGTTGCATACTTCAGGTACGATAACTCATAAAGATGTCAAACTTGCTTTGTGTTCTATACTCCATCATCGGGCAGGGTGAAGGGTTGCCCCTCATCTTCGTCCCCTCTTCCTGACCTTGACCACCGCAAAAAAAAAATCCAAGACAGTAAGGCGGGAGTCGATAGGTCTGTGGCTGGCGCCTCTCCGGCTTGGATATCGCAATATTGCCAAGCCCAGCCCCACTCCATCCTACATGTTTCAGGGACTGATGGAAAGACATTTGCACCGTTATTCATGACCGGAGTCGAACATGTTCATGTTCAACGTGTTATCAATGAATTTTCAGCGTGGAAAGTTCGTTGCCATGCTTTGTGTGTCAACAGGTCCAGACGAACTGGCGTGGGCGGCTATGAACAATTTGACTGCGGAAAGTTCACGTTCGAAATCGTTGAAAGAGCTACTGGCGCGTAGCCAGAGAGAGAGAGAGAGAGAGAGAGAGAGAGGTTTAAGGTCTTCAGCTACGCCAATGCTCGTATTCGGCAACGCGCACGAACAGGACCGCCTACTTGAAATTGTTTTATCAATGATCTCCATACGCGAAACACTCGGCACCCAAACATTGTCTTGGCTCCAGTCTTCGATTCGCAAGTCGACCATGGTGTACAATACCAGAATCAACACCGGCGGCGTACACGACGCATTCAAACGGTCTGGCAGGGTGCCAAGTAGGCATCATAGTACACCCATCAACCTTTCCATATCTTGTTACGCTCAATGGACATAGTACACAGTAGTTTGGCCACAATTGGGTTGTCGCAACTGGAAATAATACACCGGTTGCGGTGAAATTTCAGACAGGACACCGGTTTTGAATCTAGACAGCCGCAGCCTAGTGGACCATGATCGCCCCACTGTTACTGCTGTGTTGTCGCGTTTTTTCCACCAACGTGTCGCTGTCATGGATCAAGCATTGATCACAGTCTTTTGCAAGAACATGCTATAATACGATCAACGACTATGCATTGTTGTTTGTCGTGTTGCAGCGGTTGTCTGGCGAGCCAATGGGCGTTGAGGGTCAACAGCAGCAGTACATGAGACCATAAAAGCGAGTTAGTGAAATAGAAGCGATTCCCCCTCGTCTGTTCCCGAAAGGCTTGCCGCAATTCAGGATCATGCATAGGAGCCTGCTTTGCATTGAATCAGCCCCCTTTGACAAGTCGTATGTAGGTTGTAGGCCAGGGGGCGTACTTCATCAGCAGGTGTGTGCGTAAGCCCTTGCGCGAGGAGCTCGATTCAACTCGGTCAATCAACCTACGACAGAACCGAGAAGTACTTCGTACCGCAGTAGTGGCGAAGTACTTTGTACCGCAGTAGTGTGAGTATATCTGCCGACGTGAAAAAGCTTTTTATCAGAAGCCGCCGCATCTTGGCGCAAAGCAATACGAACTATGTACAGGGAGGATGCGTTCTACATTTAGTGCTGTGTTTCCTCCTCAAGCGACTGCTGCAGCAATACAAAAGAGGAGCGGCCCAATCAATACATGAGCACACTGTACACGCAGACGCGGGCCTGAGCATGATGAACACACGCTCAAACGCGCCAACCGCCCAAACGGCCGTGTGCAACTGCGTAGGTTGGACGTTGGCGCCTTCGCGATCAGGACAGCACTTCTTTGCCTTGGTGCTGGCTAGCTGGCCCTGCGGACGCGTACTGCGCTACGTGCGTATTGAGAGCCTACGATCGCCCTCCCTCAAGAGGAGCTACTCCAGATGCAACTCACCTGTGACGAGTGTGCTGTACAAGATGTGCACCCTGATGGTGTTGCCCCCAACGGCACGAACGCGAACGAAGACACCTGAACCACCGACACACACCCCACCCCCAACGCGACGCTTGCAGAAAGGCGCATCCTGCTCCTCTGTGGGCTGGGATCAATAACTTACTCACGTTGCCCGCTGTGTTGGTTCATCAAACTCAGTGAGTCATTTTCGTCAACGTTGCATCGAGGTTTGGAGGCATGTTGTAACCGACGTTTTTATTTTTTTCCGCATTTCGTCGATTGTGCTTCTTCACGCCGTCCGACCAAATTCGGTTCCGGACGACGGCTGTAGGTTTCGGTGAGCGACGACGGATGCACATAGGGAATGCGATGGCCCATGCAAGAGAAATATTCTTCAAGCGAAGGTGATGTAGGTGTGGGGTATGTCGGTCCCCCAAGATTCAACGACAGCTGCAGCCGGCGGAGTGCCTTCGTGGGACGAAAGTTACCAGAAGGGAAGTTTCGGTCAAGACAGTGCTTCGATAGCAGCAGCACTCAATGCTGACGACGGCGGCGGTGGGACAAGCGATTTGGAGAGGCTTATTCGATTGTTCACTAACGAGGATACCGCTGAAATAGCTGGGCGGCAGCTCGTCGTCCTCCGGCAGGTGTGCAAGGTCCGACAAAGAGGGTGAGCGGACTGCTGTAGTATGTAGTGGACTGCTATAAAGTTCGTGACTCACGGTAGACTGTTTGAGGATGTAGTTGGTGAAGCATGTAAGGTGCAGCATGTGCTGTGGTGGTACCCACGATGAAGGCCACTACATAGCTGACGTCGCATACAGCCGCGCGAAAGCTGTGGTGTGGGCGCTACTACAGGTAGGTTACCACGTCATCGTCTAGGGCCGGTCGCCGGCAAATAATTGGCAATTAGCCCAACAGGGTATTGTCTAGTGGTTCTTCGGTGCAGGTACACACAGGTCCATATCATGCCGGAAATACTTCAAATGTTGTATGTATCAGTTCTGCAAAACAGCGGCAGGACGGTAATACAGAGGTTGCTATGATGTGATGCACGAGAGCGCGCACTTGCAGTTTCTTCGCCGGACCCATCTGTCCCAAAGGTAGTCACCACCCGGAGCAGACGAGAACCGAGTGCCGCCTCCACACCGTACACCACCTCCCTCCGGTATCTGTCTTTCGACCCGACGTCTGACACCAACCCTCTCTTCATGCCTGGTTCATTGCTCGCTCTCTACTGTAGGTTTCGCTATGGAGAACTATCTCTAGTCGAGCGCCTTCTGCCCCTGGTCGAGAGCAGGGTTACTCACGGGCACCAAGCTAGCGAGTTCCGCGGCTTTCTTCTGAAACTGCTGGACATCTGTTCGCTTGCCCCTGTGCGCGATCGTGCCAACCAAGAGTTCACCGAACGCGGCTTGACCGCCGCGAGCTCCTTGTTCCACGTGCTAGGAGGGCTGCTTTGGTCACCCGACGCCGGTATCCAATCAGCAACCGCCGTCGCTCTGAAGAAGATTGCCGCCGGGAATGACCCCACCCGACCGAACACTCCGGACGACGAGAACAACCACCGGTTCGGTGAGTGCCGAGACGACCTCCGACCAAAGCCTAAGGACATCAACCAGGCCCTGCTGCTGGGGTGCGGGGTCGTGACTTCGGCCGTCGCCTGTCTCGGTGCGGTTATCGGCGGTGTTTCGGCGAGCCTTGCCGAGCTCGACGAGGATTCCTCCCTCGACTCTAGCAGCTTCGACGGCGGTGATGATGCGGGTGTTGTGGACGAACTCGTCCAGTCTGCCTCTGCTCTGGAGGCTACCGGCTTGCCACAGCCCGACGGTGATCACGATCTCGACAACGCGGAACGATCCGACGACGAAAATGACGACGATGACGAAGTCGATAGCACCGCAACGAAAGCCCACGACGAGTTTGAAACCCAAAATGCGGAGGTCGGCGGCGGTGGCAGGGCAGGAAAATCTTCAAGCTTGGCACTGCAATACGTTGTGCTCTCGTCTCTGCTACAGCTTGTGCGGGAGCTGTCGACGGACGCTAACTCCTCGGCGGCGATGGTCGAGGAAGGGATTGCAGCTCTCCTCGTGCAAGTGATACGGGCCGTCAGAGGAATCCGCGACCCCACGCTTTCCATCACGGTGGAGGTGATGTGGAACTGCCTCGAGCACAGCCAGAACGCGATGGACAGCGGTCCCGCGGCGAAGAGTCGCACGAGTCTCGTCCGAAAAGCGAGGAAGAGCAACGCCGCGTTCGCGCTCTCGAGCTGGAACGGTGTCTCGGCCCTTCGAGACACGTTTGAGACTCTCTTGCTCGGAGGCTTCCGCAACAAGGACAAGGAGCTCCGCAACGAGGCCGTGATCGTCGCGAGCCAGCTCTTAACCAACGGCCGCAGCCACCCTCTCTTCCGAAGCACCGGCATGCTGCTGCTGTTGCTACGGTACGCCACCGCCATCGAGACCGGGCTAGCTGACGGCAATCCCACCGCCGTGGAACTGGAAGCAAGGACTTTCTCGGTGGCATGCACGGACAGCGGCGGAAGCAGCGACGGAGGCCGGACAGAGGTGCCCGAGCTAGGGCCTCTCGCGGACCCGAGAAACTTCGCCACCCCGAAGGAGGTGGACATGGAGCTGAAGCTGCTGCTGTGGTCCCTGCTGACGGACCTGTGCAAGCGCGACGCTCGCAACGTCGAGGTGGTGGACGCGTCGCCGCTGATGGAAACGTTCTTGATGTACATGGACCTCGTGGTCGAGGAGGGCCAGAGCGGCGACGCTCTTCCTCCGGGCATGAGCCGCTCGATATCGCTGGCGTCCTTGCCTCCCCTGGGAAGCGGTCACCAGCTGAACTCCTCGACAACAACCGTCAGACCCTCGGCTTCCCCGCGTTCTTCAGCGGGCGGAGCGGGTGGCTTCAAGAGAAATTCTAGCGGAGCGGGCGGCTCGGAGGTTGGGGGCGACAACCGACCGTCGGCCGCGCCCCCTTCAGGCAGCGCCCCGATCTCCGGCGACCACCACCCCTTGGCAAACGGCACAGGTGCGGACGGTAAGAGCTCGGGGGGGTCGACGACCTCAGCCGAGCACAATGGGACAGATGGTGCTGCCCCCCTACAATCGCCGAAGAAAACGCGGGCGTCCTCGGGCAGCGGCGGTGAAGCGCCGGGGATCGGCGGGGTTGCGCAGCTCTTCGTCCCCGCGAGCGTCTTCCGCCTCCCCATGACCCTGATCCAGCTCTTGCAGCGCCAGGCGATGGCTTCGCTCCTCGTTCTCGCGCCCAAGTGCCCGGCGAAGTTCCAGGCCCTCGGGGGCCACATGGTCACCCTTCGCCTCCTCGATCGCCTCGGGTCGCGCCCCGACAACCAGCGGCTCGTGAGGGTGGCGACCAAGATGCTGGCCACCGTGGTAAGTCTCCCGGGGCTAAAGGAAGAGCTTGGGCGCGTGGACGGAGTGCGAATAATGCTCGACCGGTTCTCCGACGAGTGGAAGCGCGAGCAGCAAGGCGGCGGGGGCGGGGGCGGAGGGAGTGGCGTAGGAGGCGCGGGTGGCGGTAGCGTTGGTAGCAGCGGGGGCGGCGGCGGCGGCGGCGGCGGCGGCGAGGGTGCCGGTGATGTGCGCACCGACATGGTGATCATCCTGTGCCGGCTGTGCGAGGAGTGCCCGGAGAACCAGGAGGCGTTCAGGAAGGCCGACGGGGTGCCGATAATGATGGCCGCGGTCAGGGCGTACTGCCGGGCACGGAGCGAAGCCAAGCAAAAAGAAGGAACCAACAGCTCAAGTCGAGGAGGAGGAGGAGGAGGAGGAGGAGGCGGGGGTGGCGGGAGTGACGCTGGAGGCGGATCGTCCCTGGGTGGTGGGTGTAGCGCCGGGGGTATGGAGTCTGGGGGTGGGGGCTCCGGCGGTGAGGGGCTGGACCCGTCGCTGGTGCACATTATTGACTGCGTTTGGTGCGCCGTGGTGGGCAACCGTCGAAGCGAGGCACGGCTGCTGCAGTGTGAGGGGCTGGATACGCTTCTGGACCTGTTGGAGCTGTGCCCCGCGTTCATGCGGCATCAGGTGACCGTGGCGGGATGGAGGGGTAGATGCACGGCCGATGCGGCCACGACTGCAGGGCGTCTAGTAGTCGGCAGGAATGTGGCCCTGGTGCTGCTTTGCCTTCGCCTCAATATGATTTGGTGGAACATGGTGCAGACGGTCTGCGGGCTATTGTTTTGACTCACCAACGACATGCAAGTGTCGGTGGGACAAATGCGAAGTCCGATCTCTGAATGATGCGCATTTTCTCGGTAGCTTTCCCTTTTTGAGCAACAACGTCCGCAAGGCTGGGACCTCGAAGTCAGGTCAGTTGGACTTAAAATCATACCATGTGTCTAGGGTGTGGTGTCGAAAAGGTTGGCCTTCTCTTCTCCCGAGTGCGGTGCCCACAGCAGGGATCGACACGGCAACAGCCTAGAGAATAACATGACTCCGGCGTGATGGCACACACTCCCTTGCGCGTACTGGAAAACAAACAGGTGACAGGCATCATCGCCGACCTACTTCGAAATAAGCGGTCCATCCCGTACGCAAGGGCTTGGCGGAGCGACCTGAACATGCTCAGCGTCACCCAGCTGATGGTACGGTTGTGGGTGGCAGAAGAGTGCCGGCTCGGAGTGTCCCGCCCGAACGGCGTCCTGCAAAATCTGTGGGAGCCGCTCAAGTCTCACGACCGCGGGCGCGGCCGCCGCAGCCTGAGAAAAACGCCTGCCAGGCGCGTTCGGTCGAGACCGACCACTGGGGAGGAGGCGGCAAACGGCTCCAGCACCAGCTTAACGAGCGACTGCGGCACGGCCACCGCCGACGCCCTTCTCTCCCGAACAACTGCCGAAAGCAGCAACGCCGCTCAGGTTGTTTCCCTGAACCAGACGTCATCTGGAAACCCTCAGGGTGGCGTTCTGCTCGACGGTGACGTTTTCCCGAACCAGTCGACGACGGAAGAGGACAGAGACGTTTTGGCGCTTGCCGGTGTCGATGATGGTAGTGTGCACGAGGAGGCCAGCAGGCGACATTCCTACGCGGTTTCTCTCGCGCTTGAGGCCGGCAAGCGGGCGGTGGCGATGGAGAACGGCGGGGGCGGAGGTGGCGGCAGCCAGAGGAAGAGAGGCGCGCATATTGACGCCGAGGCGTCCGTGGCGAAGGCCA